GACCATGTGACAGAAAACCGAATGCATTGCACTTTTGTTTGAGCAGAATATCTCAACAGAGATTGCTAAACTCCAACTTGCATGCTTGCCAGTGTTTTCAGATCATCAGCGCCTTTCCATAATGCAGAGAGAGCGTGTGCACATGGTGGGAAAATACAGTAAACCACTGGGCAGAAAATGTGTCAATTTATGAAAGAAACTCGACTGAAACTCTTGAAATCTGGCAACTGCAACCATCAAAGCTTGGAGGCTTGATACCAATGCATGATGCCAAATTAAAATCAAAATCAAACATTTTTCAGGACAACCAACCAGCAGGCGATTATACTTAATAAATCGAGAGAAGCAGAAATAGTGACCATGATTGTAATACGATTCATAACATGCGCCTCCTCAAGAGTATCAGAAGAAATCTCAACAATGTCTCAAATGGTGCTCAACATCTCAAAGTCTGCAATCAGAAGTCAGAGATCTCAATATGAACTCAAAGCAGCTACTAGGGCTGCACAATTAATCGAATTTCTAATCGCGATTACAATTATGGATGCCACAATTACGTAATCGTTCAAAGCGGCAATTAATCGTTCAAAGTCCACTTATGTTATTCTGCACGCTTAAAATGTGTTTTTTTCTTTCTACATGTTATCTTAAGGGTTTTTCCATTGTTTTAGTTTTAGTTTTAGTATAACATTATAATACCATTCATATATTTACTTTTTTATAATTTAAAGAAGTAACCAATCCCCTGTATATTTGACGTTTGAAGGCTCCGAGGGTAATGTGTTAAACACCTCCCTGGGGGAGGGAGATGGCTTTAGTTTGTTTTCGTCTTTATCCATTTTTTATCATCGCTGATGATTTGGGCTGTTCAAATGGAATTAGACCAAAGTTTTAAATTGTTATAGGGTTTAAGCTTGGCATGAAGACTAATTTAAAGCTAAAGCAGGTACGAGCTAGCAGGATAAAAAGCTGAACGATGGCCAAGTTTGCCAGAAAGTATGGTTTCAAATAGTTTAAGGCTCACAAAGAGCTGTTACGGTATCACTGCAGACCTCCAATGAACACATGTCCCTGTCGCCTCATAAAAAGTTCATGAGCTGGGGGGGGCAGAGTTGGTGGCATCGGGGCGGGGAGGGTGTCGGGCTCCGTATGATAGGACATTGACAGTGTGCTCGGGAGCAAATGAGCACACTACACAGCCATACAGTACAGGAACATCCATACTAAAACATCCACTGACAGCAGCATACATTACTGCAGACTCACCCGGGGGTGGTCCATGGGACAGGCAACAGATCTCCGAACAACTTTAACAGCTTGGGTTAGTTTCTCTTTCGGTGGTAGCCTTAGGCTTTTCCTCGCTCGTCCCTCTGCAAGGTAGATATAGTCACCTTAAACTGCCCACACACACTCAGTCAAGACAACGTCAACACGAATATCTGCAGCCATCATTCAAGGTGGTGGTGAGGCTCTGCAAACATCGACCTCGCTGCTGAGGCTTTATGGTGGCATGTGAAAATTTTGTTTGGTCTCCAAGGCCTCTGTTGTGCTCTTCACTTGATCAGGCCTTCCTGTGAGGACTTCAATAGCAGAGGAATGTCATGTTTTTTGTCGCTCTTTGCTATTTATTCAGACTAACAATGGACAAATCTGCTATACAAATAACAGAGGCAGTTAAAAACAATCTTGGCACAAAGCGCTCTGAGTGAGTTCAGACTTAATCCGTTACACAACATGTGGTTAAGGAGGCAGGGGCTGCATCTTTGAGCAGGATGAAAAAATGTTTTTCCACTGTTATCCCTGTCCTTCTCCTTCTATCCATTCATAGACTCGTGGAAGCATGTCAGGTTGGTTCTTCTCGGATGCTATACAAACAAGCGGTGTAGAGCAAGAGAACACATGCATCTTGGCGGTCTACTTCAATGGGGACAATCAACTACACAATTCCTCTTGACAGAGTAATTGCCAGACGCTTTTCCTGTCCTTTGGCAGGCACCTCATTGGTTGCCTAGCCCCTTTCTCTTTTTCTCTTTGGCCCAGAATCCTTGCAGTGTAGTATTTGGAATGGGTCCAGTGGCCCTCTCCTGCTTTAAGTGTTTTTGGGTCAATCTTTTGTTTCTCAGGAACATGGTTGAGATTGTAAGAATTCACCTGGTCTATGCCCATCACTCAAATTCCTTTCAGCTTGCCAAGTGTGTTACTGGAAGCCATCTTGGAATATGTTTTGACATGCTTTCTGGTAGCATAGACCAACATAAATATGACAAAAGTAATTGTTAACATCAAATGGATGGGAGAGAAAAAATAACTGTGATTTAGGGCTGCACAGTTAATCGAATTTCTAATCGCGATTACAATTATGGATGTCACAATTACGTAATCGTTCAAAGCGGCAATTAATCGTTCAAAGTCCACTTATGTTTATTCTGCACGCTTAAAATGTGTTTTTTTCTTTCTACATGTTATCTTAAGGGTTTTTCCATTGTTTTAGTTTTAGTATAACATTTTAATACCATTAATATTTTTACTTTTTTTATAATTTAAAGAAGAAACCAATCCGAAATATATTTGACATTTGAGGCTTAATACTATAGAAAAGCACTAAAGGTTTTTCAGTTAGAGTGTTTTCAGCTTGTTTATTTTCATATAAAAATACGGCATGCAGTTGCATCAAACAATGGTATAAACATCATTCAATGTAAATTGTGATAATCGTAATTAATAATCGCAATTACAATTTCAAGGGAATAATCGACAATTATGATTTTTGTCATAATCGTGCAGCCCTAGCAGCTACTACTGAATAACAACTACTGACTCATGTGCCTGTTTTTAAGTGAGTTTTAGGGAAAACATTTGAGACAAAGTTGATATCTAATTGAAACTTCCAAACTTTGAAAAATAAATCTCAGAGCAATAAAACGTTCGTCTAGGGTGTTTTATATCACTCACGATTACTTTCATTTGGGGGGGTTTTCTCGGAGGAGGCGGTCAAGCAGCGGCTCAAAAAATTAATCAACGGTACAAAAAGAGATATTCTGAAATATGAGACTGAATAGAGTTTAAAGCACTCATTTTTCTGAAGGTTCAGGGGGAGCTAATAGACAGCTTAAATCATGGAGGAGGAAGGGAGAAATACAAGTGAGACGAGGCAGTGCCTCCATTGTGCTATGACTGGCTGATTATCTTTCTATCACGTCAAGTTAATTTGATTTATATAGTGCTTTACAGTAAAATTCAGTTCAAGCATATCAAAACTTAAACATATCAAAAAGTTGCATGGGTAAAACTGGAGGAAATGGACATTTGCCTTAAACCTGGAAACTGTGTATGAATATTTGAATAAATTATGAATATACATATACTGAACTAAAAAACCAAAAAGCAGAGAGGGTAATTTCAGACGTCCAACACACACTACCGATGCATAGATATAAATATAAAGAGATAAATATTTAAAAGACATTGAACTGATTAATACACCTTATGCTGAACACACACTACAAGACCCGTTTTCATGTTTCCAGCACTTTTTTTAATCTTATTTTTATCTATATTTATTTTATCTTTTTAGTGTATTTTACCTTTTATTGTTTACAAATCAGGACAAAAATGACAGAAAGCCACGTTGATATCAATGCATTGCCATGCAGTGTGTGTGAAAATTAATTTTGAGACTATACAATCTGGTCTTTAAATGTGCAAAAGGCTTCTGTCTTTTAGTGTGTCTTTTATTCAGATTTCTAGAAATATGAATTTTTCTTAATCTGGTTATGCCAACTGAGTCAACCTGATACAACTGGTGTTTATCTTTTATCGTTCTTTGCAAATCAGAGCAAACATGATGCAAAGCCCTTCCTCCGCATTATTTGTTGCTGTCAATGCATTGCCATTTACACAAGCTTGTGTGAAAATTAATTTTGAGTTGATACAATCTGGTCATGTGCGCCAAGCAATGATCTTCTGTCTTGTAGCATGCATTTGCTTTTATTCATATTTATAGAAATATGAATTTTTCATAATCTGGTTATGCCAACTGAGTCAACCTGATACAACTGGTGTTTATCTTTTATCGTTCTTTGCAAATCAGAGCAAAAATGATGCAAAGCCCTTCCTCTGCATTATTTGTTGCTGTCAATGCACTGCCATTTACACAATATACACGAGTTGATACAATCTGGTCATGTGCGCCAAGTAACGACCTTCTGTCTTTTGTAGCATGCATTTGCTTTTATTCATATTTCTAGAAATCAGAATTTTTCTTAATCAGGATATTCCAACTGAGTCAACCTGTTTATATGATACAAATGCTACTTATATTTTATTGTTTGCAAATCAGTGCAAAAATTATGCAAAGACCTTCCTCCGCATTATTTGTTGCTGTCATTGCACTGCCATTTACACAGGTTTGTGTGAAAATGACTTTTGAGTCAATGCAATCCAGTTATGAGATGTGCACAGGGCGATGACCTTCTGTCTTGTAGCATGCACTTGCTTTTATATCTAGAAATATTAATTTTTTCAAGCTAAGCCAATTGAGTCAACATGTTTATTGTGATACAAACCATACAGAAAACTGATTTCAAACACATTTACTAGCACACACTTCTTAAACAAGCCTGCAATTCTATTCAAAACTACAACAATGATGTTGGAACTGCAGACAGGACTGAAAGAGAGACAGATATTGATACAGAAAGACTATAAACACAGGAACACGAGTCCCTGGAGCGCAACCCTTCAAAATGCCTCGCCGATACAGTGTCTCAAAATAAAAAGCCATAATGCACGACTGAACAACATCTCACACAGTCAGTCACTTCATCCAAACTAAACTTCCAATGTTCCTCAACATCCAGGGTGAAAAGCGACGCGCTCCCGCAAAACTAACGTTGCATAAGCGCAGTGTTTGCAACCCACGCGCTCCACAGGTTGCGCGCGGCTCCACGGTTCACCTGTTCTCGTGTGTGTGTGTGTGTGTGCTTGTGAAGTTCGCTCACCCAGGTCTGGAGTGTGACAGCTGCGTCCTCATCTGTCTGTCCGTGAGCGTGCGCGTCTCTCCTCGTCTCCTGCTCGCCGTCACCTCTTCGCGTCTGTCCATAAGTCACAGGAGCGCGTCCATACGCGTCCTCAAGCTCGAGAGAGCGTGCGTGAGTGCGTGCGTGTGTCTGTATGTGTTTACCTCTCTGGCATCAGAAACGCCGACACACACTCTCTCCTCCTCCTCCTCGCGCGCACGGTCAGAGATGCTGTTCCAGAGAGCTGTTCCTCTCGTTCGCTCGCGTGCATGTGTGTGTGTGTGTGTGTGTGAGAGAGAGACAGAACACACACTGGCGCTGTCTCGAGTCTCTCTGTGCTGTCCCCGTCTCTGTCTCCGTCTATCTGCTGCTCACGCTGCTGTTTGGTTTTTCTGTTCACCCCGCTGACGCGCTCGGGGAGCGACGCGCAAGTGCCGCACTGGAGCAAAAACGCAGCGTGGACAATTACATTCAATTCAATTCGCGTTGATCTGTGAGGCGCTTTTCACGATGTATATCGTTTCAAAGCAGCTTTAATGTGTTGCTAGGCCGTTGCTATGACATTCTGGGCGTTTTTAGCATGCTGCTATGTGTTTGATACAGTAGGACAATCAAAAGTGCCGATCCCTAAATCTATAATCTACAATATTCTGGAAAATGAGGGACAGAAGACAGTGTGTTCAATGTGTCCTACTTTTTTTGGGGTTCAAGGTCACCCTCATTTTCACAACCCATGTTTTTTATTTTTTGGTGTATTACATTTTTGATGCTGTATTTTTAATGTTTTGTCATTTTTTCATTGGAATCAAATTAAATATGGTGTCAAAAAGGCTCATTACAGGGTCAAGGGGATTACTTTACTTTCTTATGCATGTTTCTGGTATGATTGCGATTATTATTAAGTAGTGCACATTATTTTAAAGAAGAAAAAAAAGATATTGATGTTAAAGTTTCAGTTCCCATTGACTACCATTGTAATTTCTGTCCATATAATGGAAGACAATGGGAACTGAAACCATTCTGTATCATTTTTTTAAATTTATGTTCCACAGTAAGTCATACAGGTTTGGAACGACATAAGAGTGAGTAAATGATGACAGAATTTTCATTTTTGGGTGAAATATCCCTTTAATGTTAACTAGTCTGTATTTAGCCATGGTTTTAGGCTACTGTTATGCAGCTTTTCTAAAGTATTGCCAATAGTTAACAGCAATTTAATGCTGATTAATTTGAGTAGTTTAATAAAAGATACAGAAAAATAGAAAATAAGGAACATTTGAAAAAGAAAGAAGCTTTACTGGCAGCTTGACCTTCAGCCACAATTCACTGCAGACTCACATTCATGTTTCAGATGGAAATGCATCACATTACAGACACAAATACTTTTTCATGCTGACTTTGAAACGTTCTGTTGTTTTTCACCAGCATGCACATAAATGCATGTTTTGAAGGGGTCATAACGTGCTGATAAAGTGTCAGGGATTGTGCTGCTCTGTAGGGAGAATGTGTGTGCATGAGTGCTCGTCTCAGATTTTGTGTATGTAACAGCGGCACAGAATGAGTCTCTGAGGGAGGTGGACAAGCGCCGCTTCACTGTCTGCCTCAGTGTCTCGCTGTGTTAACATTGTAATTGGATTTCACTTCAGCTGCCACTAAAAGCGTGCTGTGTGTATGCGCGTGGCCCGGTCCTCCTCTGTAAATCTACCCATTCAAATCATTTCAAAAGGCAACCAAACTGAAGTAAAAGCTTTAGCTATGTCTTCATCGTTTACTGACCAGACTAAAGGAACAGTTCATGCAAAAATTAAAATGTGTTTACCTTCATGCCGTTCCTTCTTTCTTCTGTGGAACACAAAAGGAGATATTTAGCGGAATGTCAAAGCTGCTCTTTTTCAAAGTCATATTTCAGACAATGTTTGTTTTATACAATGCATTCTGCTTCGATGCAGATTTTAAGTAATAAACAGAAAAACAGCACTGCAAAATTCTTTAGTTTCAAATGCAATTTCAGCTAAAGCAGCTCAACTAAAGATAATTTAGTGTTGTAAGGTTTCTGCACATTTTATGATGGTAAATTTAAGACGTTTTTAAGATCAATTAAAGACAATTGAAGTAACAAAATGAATGTAAAAATACATCAACATGGTCTCGAAATGTAAATGTCTTGTATGAGAAAACGCTTCAACAGATTTCCTTTACTTTTTAATAAGAAGTCTTGTTTTCTGAGAAATTAATGAAAATTAAGTGAGTTTATCATTAAAACGAGACAGATATCAGTAGGCTCAATAAAATCAATTTCATTCAAAGGGAAAACAAGTTTATTAATTCATTCAATTTGCATCTCCAGTAAATGTATCTTTGATTTAAGGACATTTGCATATTGTATTGGAAAACAAAACAAAAATACAGAGGACGATGTTGCATGCACCATTTAATGCCATGATGTTATGAATTTAAGACTTTCTGCTCTGATTTAAGATCTTCTAAGGACTTAATTTGTGAAAGACATGACATGTTTTTAAAGAAACCCTGTTTGAGTTCAATTATTTAACAACCTCATTTAATATTTTTAAGTACATCAGCTAAACAGAACTTTCCTCAAACTTTAAGTCAAAAGCAGCTTGAATGGTACAGTATTGTGCTTGCAACGTAATGTCATGGGTTCAAACTCACAAATGAATGTAGATGGTGACCAGGCTGTTAAAAAGCAGCCAAAAAAGCAGCATAAAAGTACAATAAAACTATCCTGTATGATTTTGTGTTTAATAGAAGAAAGTAATTTCAGGTTTGGACCGCCATGAAGGCGAGTAAATCATGACAGATTGATCATTTTTGGATGAATTATTCTAGAGGCTCGTCTCCTGCAGTTCCTTAATAACTCAAGTGTGTCTTATTAAAACATCTTTGTTTTCCTGGGTGCTTTATGAAGTGAATTAATGAATGCATTAAAGCCAGAGATCTCCCCAAACAAGCCGCCCATCAAACAGACAAACAACTCAATCGGGTTTGTGCAAATTGAGTAAATTGTTCCACTGAGTGAAAGAATGAGCCAATTATAGATCTCGTTATTGTGCACATCATTTATCTTCTGTGCAACTTTCTAGTCAGATATTCTGCATCCTTGTTTTATCCCAGAATTTGTTGTTGCATGTGGGTTTAGATTTGCAATTGATTTTTTTTAAGGCAAGACATTACATGCAAAACAATGTTTCTTTCATGCACTGGTCAGTTTGGGGATTTTGGGCTTTTTGTAATGTTTTGTTTTAAACTAGTGGAAAGAAAACAACTAAAATATACATTTAAGTGCTTATTTTATTGCACTTTATCTATTTGCATCTGCAGATTTGAATTCCAATCCATATCTTTAAAGAGTTTTTTCTCTTACATACATACACCAAAACTTACAGTTTCTGTCTGTTGACAGTATGTGCACTGTAAAAAATGATTGTGATTTTAACAGTAATAGACTGTAAAAATGCTACAGTAAAACCCTGTTAACTGGTTAACAGTAAGTTTCCATACTATATACGGAGAATACATGTAATTACATTTAATGTAATTTTACAGTAAAATACTGTTAAAAATACGGTTTTTGGAAGTGAAAAAGAAAAATTCAAATGAAAAAACGTAAATTGACACTCCCAGAATCCCCTGCATGACACTTCATATTTGATGTTTTTTTGTTGACATGTTTCTTCTTTTTGTTGTGTTTCTTATCAGTTGTGTACATTAGGGTTTAATCTTACAAGCTGCCGGTATTTTACCGTAAATGTCACAGATTTTTGTTTACAGTGTGTGATTTATGGAGTGATAAAAACCAGCTAACAAAAAACAAGAACATTTTGCTAAAACATTTTGTTACATAAACGTTATTTCTGAATGTTCTCTGAGCGCTGAAACATCCAGTTTCTTAAATGTTTTGGAAACATTTTTTATTGTTTATGCAAATGTTAAGGGAACATTCCATTGTATCATTTTGCAAACATTATGGGAACGTTACATTTGAATTTTCTCTGAACGTTCTGAAACAAGTACATTTAAAAAACTTTGGATGAACATTCAACTAAAATGTTTCACGAAAAAACGTTCCATGAATATAATGAATATGTTTTTGTGCTAACAACATTATTAAAAACCAAAGAACTTTCAATAAACGTTCTATTAATGTTACTGGAAGTACGTTTGTTCATAACTTTGAGGGAAACTTGCCAGAACATTCTCTCTCAGCTGGGTATCCAAAATCCCCTCTGTAAAAACAGTCAGCAAAATCAATTTCTTACAAACACGCAGCTTTTGTCTTCCCCAGATGTTAACTGATGACTGGAGTGGTGTGGATTACTTGTGGATTATTGTGATGTTTTTATCAGCTGTTTGGACTCTCATTCTGACGGCACCCATTCACTGCAGAGCATCCATTGCTGAGACACTGATGCAGTGCTACATTTCTCCAAACCTGATGAAGAAACAAACTCATCCTAATCTTGGATGGACTGAGGGTGAGTAAATTTGCACCTCATTTTCATTTTTGGGTGAACTATTCCTTTAAATGTTTTACCCTATTCACCTGTGGTGTCTGGCCTTAAATAGGTTGATATAAAGTGTGTTTCAGTGTGTTCACTGAGGTGAAGCCTGCTGTTTACCAGATGGCTCTTCTCACGGCTCTCTCTCTCTTTCTCTCATCCGTGTCTCTCCGTCCAGAATCTCTCTCAGCGTAACAAGAGCGAAACACACTCGAGCAGTAAATATAGGTCACGGTCGCATTGAAGCTTCTCTCTCAGCGCTGACACACAATAACAGCCCGCACTATTGACTTCCCATCCAGCGCTGCTTTTATCCGTGCGCTCAGACTTCAACATTAGAAAACTCCATCTCAGGCCTCCGCAGCCACGGAAAAACTCAAGCCTGCTTTAGAGTAATCCAGGGGTGTTACTGGTTAGAAAGATAGAGGCCTTCATTTAGCGAAGCCTTGATACACCCCAAAAAATATTTGACCTAAATTTAAGATTTATGTAGTTGAATTGCATATAAAATTCCCATGCATATGGATCGCACACAGTTTTAACATTAACAAACTAAACTTAATATAATGCATATTTATCAGTCATGCATAAAACATATTTATTTTATTAGTACTATTATACAAATCTTACCTGTTTAATTTATGTTATTTAGGTATGACAAATATGCATCACATTAAGTTTATTAGTTTGTTTCAGTGTTATTTTAGTATCATTGAGATACTATTAGAGATATTAATATTTTGATTTCATTATTGTATTTTTTTAATTCGATTTTTCATTTTCATTTTAGTTAAAGTTTTAGTCATTTTGTTGTGTGTTTTTGTCATTTTTTGTAGTTTTTGATTTTTAAAATATTTATATAGCCTACTGCATGTCTAAATAGTTTCATAAATTTTTATTTCAGCTTCAATTTTAGTCAAATTTAACTAAATTAAAATAAAAATGTTGCCTTGGCAACTAGCTGAAATTAGATTTTTGGTATTTTATTTTATTTCAAGTAATGACATTTTTTAACGGTTGTAATTTTTAGTTTTAGTTTTTATTAACTACAATAACCCTGGTTTGTTCATGTTAAAACTGTTTAATCCAAGTGCACAAAAATGTTATATGCAATTCAAATACATAAATCTGAAATTTAGGCATGCATAAATAAATAAATATATTTTTTGAGTGTTAAGACAGCAGCATAATATAGAGTGCAGACGTGAGCATCTTTATAGGCCACTGTGGTTCTTTTCACGCAGTCATCCATCACTAACCCCAGCATCTTAGAGACAACTTCCAGTTAGTGTTCTTGATTTTCTGCATCCGCTGAGCTGGTAAAACATCCCCTTCCTGAAGCAGCTGGGAGCTTGTTGACACTCTTGAGAGGGAAAGTCAAGTTGAAGATGCTGGGAGCGTTGCAGCATTTCGCTCTCTTCTGGCTCTTGAATAATGAAACAAGAAAATAAAGCAAAAGTTTATGCATCAAGGTATTAGTTGGGATGAATGAGGTTTGGATGCAATCCAAGCTGCTTTTCAGCTCCATTAGATGGTCTTGAATACATAAATTCATGTTATGTCAATTTATAATTCTAAGGATTTTTTCAATCATTTATTGAAAAACACATTCTCATTCTCGTGGTTATCTGATGTTGGTTTATGATCACACAGCATTCAAGTAAACAAAAAAAAATTTTTTTTTTGAATATTTAATTTGTATATATTTTTATATTTAATATTGATAATTTAATTGCTTTTATTTAATTATTATTTATATTAATTTTACATTTTTATGATTTAATTAATTATTACTCGTTTTTTTAGCTCACAAAGCTCAGTTTGGAAAACTTTGATGTTTAATGCACTTCATGTTGTTAATCACAATGAATGGATTAAATTTTCTTTCTCTTTGTATTTTTATATCTAAAAGCCGCAATTTTTTTTTCTGGTGTTGCCACTCCAGCTGAACCTTAAATTAACTAAAAATCCCAAATAATTTGTTTAAAATTTGTGTGACACAAAATATATAGGCACAATTATGTAAATGTGCAATAATGACTAATAATAAAACTCACCAGAGCAAATCACAGAAGGAAAAATATGGAAGAGGACCTTCAGGATGAAAGCTAACGGATATTTGCCTGATTTTTAAAAAATGTTTTCATACATTTCTGCTGGTGTGGATAGCTGTGAAGAGACAAAATACAGAGAAGAATGGAAATGAAATGGATGATTGATCATCTCAAACTGGAAATGTGGGCATTTTAAAAACTAACGGCAGGCAAGACAAACGTCCCGTTGTAAATATCCAGCATAATGTTCATTTCTGTCTCTTTCCTCCATCATCCACGTCTTCATTACGCCTGGCATACGGCTCTTTACCCAGAATCCTTGGCTGAGTTCCCGTACTGAGCTATAAAATGTGCCCTAACAACAGGCCAGAAAAAAACAAGCTCCGGCAATGTGCTGAGGGCGAGATAAATGTCACCCGCTCACGGATTCAGCGTTTAATTGTTTCATTAATGTAGTCTTTTTTGGGGCAGACTTTAAGTCAAGAACACGTGTCTGACACGATGCTGAAGGTGGTTGTGAAAAGCTGCTTAAAACTAGTATGTCGAGCTAGAAACTATTCATAACCAAAAGCAGTCAAGCTACAAATCAAGTGATACATTTAAAAATTAGTTAGCTAAACTAAGGAACTAACAAACATGATTATGGATTTACTGAAACTAAAACCATTTAAAAAAATGCAATAAAATACAAAAAAAAAAGTTGCCATTTTCATTTTAGTAATTTTATGTGCTTTTGTCATTTTTATTAGTTTTGTTTTATATTTAATTTTTTTATGTAAAATATTTTTATTTAGCTTTAATTTAAGCTACGATCAAGCAGTTCTTTTAAGAGCTAGTTGGCTCTACAAGATACTTGCAAACGGGTTTATTATGGTTTACTAAATTAAAACTAAAACCTAAAAAAAACATGTGTTTACTTGAAATAAATGTTAACTGAAATAAAATAAACTATAAAAAATTTTACTCATTTTATTTCAGATAGTTGCCAAGGCAACATTTGTCATTTTCATTTAGTTTAAGTACTAAAATGACTACAGCTAAACAAAATAAAACGAATAAACAAAACTTATAAATACAACTATTAAATAAAAAATAATAAATACTATATAGACATACTTAAAAATAATAATAAGAACAAAAACACACAACAAAATGACAATTCTTTAACTAAAATTGAAGTAAAAAAAAAAAAGAAAATATAAAAAAAAAAGTGAAATATGAACAAAAACCATAATAGCATATGTAATATAATAGCAATAGCAAAATGTAGCTATAGTTACATTGACACTAGCTAATGGGGTAATACCTTTTTAACATAACCAGAAAATGTAATTTATGTTAGAAATTTTACACAGGAAGTTTTTTTAAATGGGAAACTTGACAATAATCAGCAGTATTTAACCAAATATTTATATTTGCTACAAAAAAAAATGAATGAATGAATGAATGAATGAGTGAATGAGTGAAAGGGTGAGTGAAAGAGTGAGTGAATGTATGAGTGAATGAATGAGTGAGTGAAAGAGTGAGTGAATGAATGAGTGAATGAGTGAGTGAATGAGTGAAGGACTGAGTGAATGAGTGAGTGAATGAGTGAAAGAGTGAGTGAAAGAGTGAATGAATGAATGAATGAATGAGTGAGTGAGCGAGTGAATGAATGAAAGAGTGAGTGAGTGAGTCAATGAATGAGTGAATGAATGAATGAGTGAGTCAATGAATGAGTGAGTGAGTGAGTGAGCGAGTGAATGAATGAAAGAGTGAGTGAGTGAGTGAGTCAATGAATGAGTGAATGAATGAATGAGTGAGTCAATGAATGAGTGAGTGAGTGAGTGAATGAGTGAGTGAGTGAGTGAGTGAGTGAGAATGAATGAATGATTGAGTGAGTCAATGAATGAGTGAGTGAGTGAATGAATGAATGAATGAGTGAATGAGTGAAGGGGTGAGTGAATGAATGAGTGAATGAATGAGTGAGTGAAAGAGTGAGTGAATGAGTGAGTGAATGAGTGAGTGAATGAGTGAAGGACTGAGTGAATGAGTGAGTGAATGAGTGAAGGACTGAGTGAATGAGTGAGTGAATGAGTGAAGGACTGAGTGAATGAGTGAGTGAATGAGTGAAGGACTGAGTGAATGAGTGAGTGAATGAGTGAAGGACTGAGTGAAAGAGTGAGTGAATGAATGAGTGAATGAAAGTGTGAATGAAAGAGTGAGTGAAAGAGTGAGTGAATGAATGAGTGAATGAAAG